GTCCTTCTCTGTTTGTGAACAGCAGGTCAGGTAAGGCACCTCCCATGGTAGGCTCGCTTACCAGCTGTGTCAGGAAGTTATCTTCCACACACTCCAAGAATCTCCTAGACTGTTTCCTTTCCGCTGTATTTCCAGCGGACATCTGGCAAGTTGAAGTCTCCCACAAGAACAAGTGGGAGTGATCGCGAGACTTCTGCCAGCTGCTTATAGAATGCCTCATCTGCTTCCTCCTGCTGGGAGGGTGGCCTATAACACACCCCCAGCAGGATATCAGCCTTGTTAGCCCTTCCCCTCATTCTTACCCATCAGCATTCAAACTTATCATCACAGTCCTTGATTTCTATACAATCAAAACACTCCCTAACATATAGAGCCACCCCACCTCCTCTCCTTCCTTGCCTATCCTATTATCAATATACAGGCATAATGTTCAGACATAAAATTTTCTAGTAGAGACATAAAACTCAATTGAGTCAGAAGTTGCAGGAGTGTATAATAATGATTCAGATGAGAGACTCCTTTCCAAATAACTTCTGGAATTTTAAACACAATATAGTGCCAAAAGAAATCTGTACTACTGGAAACAGAATTCCTGATAAAGGGATGTGGACTTTGGTTACTTAGCCTTTCCTAAGGGAAAAAAAGAGTTTATAACCTTTGGAAGAATGGGTAGCCAACTCAGAAGGACTACAAGGAAGTTGTGAGGTTATACAGGGAGAAAATCAGAGGGGCCAAAGCCCAACTAGAACTTAATTGGACTACTGCCATAAAAGAATTAAAAATGTTTCTATAAATACGTTAACAACAAAAGGAGGGCTAAGAAGAACCTCTATCCTTTATTGGATGTGGGGGGAAAGACAGTGATAAAGGCTGAGGAGAAGGCTGAGGTACTTAATGCCTTCTTTGTCTCAATCTTTAACAGTAAGACCAGTTGTTCTCAGGGTACCCAGCCCCCTGAGCTGGAAGACAGTGAGCAGAATGAAGCCCCATAAGGGGAAAAGGTTAGTGACCTGCTACACCACTTAGACACATGTAAGTCTATGGGGCCAGATGGGATCCAACCAAGGGTATTGAGGGAGCTGGTGGAAGTGCTCACTGAGCCAATAATTTCTCATCAGTCCTGGCTAACCGGGGAGGTCCCAGGCCTGTCAGTCTGACCTCACTGCCAGGGAAGGTTATGGAGCAGATCACCCTGAGTGCCATCACACAACTTCTACAGGACAACCAGGTGACAGGCCCAGCCAGCATGGGTTTATGAAAGGCAGGTCCTGCTTGACTAACCTGATCTCCTTCTATGACTAGGTGTTCACTTAGTGGCTGAAGGAAAGGCTGTGGATGTGGTCTGCCTAGACTTTAGTAAAGCCTTTGACACTGTTTCCCATAGCATTCTCCTGGAGAAACTGGCTGCTCATGGCTTAGATGGGCGTACTCTTCACTGGGTAAAAAACTGGCTGGATGGCCAGACCCAACGAGTTGTGGTAAATGGAGAGTTAAATTCACTTGGTGACTGGTCATCAAGTGGTGTTCCCCAGGGCATGGTATTGGGGACAGTTCTGTTTAATATCTTTATCAATGATCTGGACGAGGGGATAAAGTGCCCTCTCAGGAATTTTGCAGATGACACCAAGTCAGGCAGGAGTGTTGATCTGCTGGAGAGTAGAAAGGCTCTACAGAGGGATCTGGACAGGTTGGATTGACGGGCTGAGGCCAATTGTATGAAGGTTCAACAAGGTTCAGTGCTGGGCCCTGCACTTGGGTCACAACAACCCCATGCAACGCTACAGGCTTTGGA